GTGTAAAAGAATGCCCCAAGAAGAACATAAATCATGACCGGATAAACATTGTTCCAAACACTTGGAATACATCTACGATTAATTTCTCTCGACTTTATATCTAACAAATACTAATTGTAATGGAGGACCATTACAGAGATCCCCCAACCTGCTCTCATAGTCGCAAAGATGCATCCGAAAAAGATCGCAATGCCATAATACAAAACATAATACATGTACATAATAAATTTAAGCATCAAACAATTTCTAAATTGCGACCAATCAGAAGTCTCTGTGTGGTTGCTATGGCAACAAAACATATGCGATTGCATTTGCAGTCCCCTAATTCCACTATATGACAATTTTCATAAAAATCGAACAATATCTAAATTTTGACAAATCAGAAGCCTCCGTGTGGTTGCTATGGCAACAAAACCTAATTTTTTAGTCCACCTAATACCCCTATATAGGGATTTTCATTAAAATCGAACAATCTCTAAATTTCGACAAATCAGAAGCCTCTGTGTGGTTGCTATGTGGTTGCTATGGGAACGAAACCTATGTGGTTAAATTTGAAGTCCCCTTATAAACCTATATACCGATTTTGATCAAAATCGAACCATATCTAAATTTCGACAAATCGGAAGCCTCTTAGTTCACACCAAATTATAACCATGACATATTTATATCCACAGCTTCCAACCACAGCGTCACGTTTACAATACAAATTATGTACAAAAAATAGGTAATCCTTATTTAGGACGAGTTTGTAACTTTCATGTCACATATTAGTAAGTAGACGGGACTATATAATAGCATTCCTTGAGGGGAAACAAATTGGTCACATAGGATACATGTATATCATAACATGAGCTTGATGTGGGACTTTGTACTACAATGTCACATATAAATATGAACAAGTTGCCTTGACTGGGGACGTGTTTGTATACCAGGTCACAAAATGTACAAGTAGGAAAAGCTGGTATTTCCAGACAGGCGCGTAGCTGCCTATACGCGAGTACGCAGCTGAATCCACATTATTTTGACAACAAATTTTTTTTTTATTAAAAAAAATGTGGTTTGAAATTCAGCCGCGTTCGCCAGATCTGATAATTACCACACTGAATACTTTATAAATCATATAGACTAAATCGTACACCATACCGTAGTATTTTTTTGAAAAGTTGTCGGCCTTTGCAGCTCTTCAAAGCCGGAAGTTTGCACGCGCCGTATTTTCGAAATGTAAACAAATGTTTACATCGAGTTCTTAAAAAAGTCATCAGCAGAATCAGCGATAGAAAAGAGGTAATTATAACTAAAATGTTACTATGTATGCCTAGTGTTTATTTGTTTCGGTCTGTTTGTTGAGTAATGACATGTTTGACCATGTCTGTGAACCGATTCTAGCGAGACTGACAACATTTTGAACTAACCAACCTTAATCAGTGAATTCATGATGCAAATGTGAAAAATTCTGGTGCATTTGTCGTATTAGTTACTCTGCATTTTTGAAATAGTTCCTTCTTGGTAGATTAGTTATATTGATACATGGAATTTTTATGAAAAAAACATTTCTGGTAAACACAACGCTCGTCATTTTTTTCATCTACGGAAGCGCATAAAGGTCAAAAGTATTCCGATTTCATACATGTACGGAGCCACAATTTATTCTTCCAGGTTCTAATTACGCAAGAAATATGGCACAGAAGAGAATTGACAGCTTCTTCAGCGTAGGTCCAAAAACTGGGCTGTCTGAAAAAGGCACCGATGCAACCGAGCCTAGTACATGTATGTTTACTTTAACATGCTTTTAACATAAAAAGCTACAAACAATAGTCAGTACATGTTAAGTTATACATGTATAGTTAATGATGACAACAATTGTAACTTTTAATTTTGTTTAAACTTTTCAAGATTCAAGGACAGTATGATTTCAAACTTTTACATTACATTCATTGCAATCCATGCTTTAAATATTCGAAATCAAATTGATTCTATAGTCAATTTTATGCACCAAAAATTCTAACACTTGTCCAAGTATCGTCATATGTATTCCATATGTATATTTATAGCGCCCGGTACGTCTGGTGTGAAGGAGGGTCCTGAACCTATGACTTTAGATAAAGATGAGCTCGTGGGGATTGCGTACAGTCCCGATGACTTGTATCCTGATCCAGCAAGGTTAACAAAGGCTTCAGATGACTCGATAAAAGTGAAAGTGCTGCAAAACAACAAAGAATGGGCCAAAACTTTTAAGTTTCCGTCAAGGTAAACTGATTCTGATTCATTTGATTTAAAGATGTGAAGTTATAACGGTTGCAGATCAATAGAAAATTGTAGTTTAGTCAACCAGTATTGTATAGAAAAATACCGTTAAAATCTCTAAACACAGTCCCGAGGTCTCAAAATCGATGGTTTATGTTGAGGTCTTTTTGTGAGTGGTACATGTGGGAAAATAGACGCAAGCCCGTCTCTTACCACTCGATTGTAAACCCATATTAATATACTGCTTCTTCCACTTGTTCGATGTTTGGTTCCATTATAATTATATTAGCGCGCTAATGACATGTTTACTATATAATTAAGACGAATAAAGTATAGTGAATATACTCATATATCTGATAACGTTATTGAAGTACCAGTATCATAAGTATACTAGTAAGATACTAGATATATACTATTAAAATGGAATCATTTGCTTCCCTGCTTTCCGGATTTCTACGTATTTGGTTGCAAAATTGTTCCATTTCAAGTTCGTACACTATTTCTTTATTTTATTATTTCAGTATTGAGTATGGAACGAAGCGTCAGTTCTCGGTAGATTGGCTAGAGAAGTATGACTGGCTTCGATATTCAGTTTCCGAGAATTCAGTGTATTGTGCTCCCTGTATTTTGTTTGGTGCTTCATCTCCAAAGGAGAAAACATTCATCAATACCCCAGTATCAAAATGGTCTAACCTTGGAAAGTACATCAAGAGACATACCGAGCCTGGTTCGAGTCATCATAGCTGCTGCGCTAGTGCTAGTAGTTTTATGAAAATCATCGAAGGGAAACAAGCAAGCATTACAGCACAACTGTCGAGAAACAAAGTCGAAACTGTTGCTAAAAATAGACAGGTGCTTAGATCTGTTATAGAGGTCATCATTCTGTGCGGTCGACAAAATATTCCACTTAGAGGTCATGATGACAACAATAGTAACTTTACTGTCCTGTTGAAAGACAAGGCCAACAGGGATGAAATCCTGAAAACACACCTGTCCTCTAAATCTAAGGTTACTTACACTTCGCCTATGATCCAAAATGAATTAATCACTTTGTTGGGAAATAACATAAAAGGCAAGATAGTTCAGCAGTGCAACGATGCTATTTGTTATTCATTTCTTGCAGATGAAGCTACTGACGCGAGCACTATGGAACAAATTGCTATGTGTGTAAGATATTATTCTGAAACTGAACAGGACGTGCGTGAAGACTTTGTGGGATTTGTGCAAGCAGAATCTACAACAGGAGAGGCTCTTTTTAACAAGTTTATTGAGGGGCAGCGGGACGCAGGATTAGACATCTCCAAGATGAGGGGACAAGGGTATGATGGGGCCAGTAATATGTCTGGTTGTCATCGAGGTGTGCAAGCTCGGGTCCAGCAAGTAGTTCCCCAAGCAATGTATGTGCACTGCAAAGCCCATAGCCTTAATTTGTCAATTGTGCATGCCTGTAAAGAGGCACTCGTCAGAAACTTGTTGGACACAGTACAACAAATCGGATTTGCTTTCAAGTACTCTGCCAAACGTCTTTTAGCTTTCAAAGAGGAGCTTGGCAACGATCCCGTGGCACAGGAAGAGATGCAGAAGAGAACACGTCTTCAAAGTCTGTGTGAGACGCGATGGGCTAGTCGGGCTGACGCACTTTACACTTTCAAAGCTGCATACACATCAATTGTAAGTGCACTGGAGGTGCTAGAACGAGAGGGAGACTCAAAAGCACGGAGCTACAGATGCAGTATCCTTGGGTTCGACTTCATCATCTCTCTAGTTGTGGTTGAATTCGTCCTCCAGGGTGTTATGCCTCTAAACAAGCTGCTACAGAAGCAGAATATCGACTTGATCGAAGCAGCCAAGGAGAGTCGAGTTCTTATAGCCACATTTCGTGCAGAGAGAGCCGATGATGCTGTGTGGGATGGGCTTTACGACAAAGCAGTTGCCATGGCAGAAGACCAAGGAGTCGAGCCTTCAAAGCCTAGAACAGCTCGACGCCAACAGCACCGTGGCAACGTGCCTGCCGACTCTGTTTCGGAATACTGGAAAAGAGCATTGTTCTATCCATTTCTTGATCATCTAGTTGTGGAACTAGAAGACCGTCTTGTATCCAGCAATGAGAGGTTTAAGGCTCAATATCTCATCCCAAGCCTTCTTCCTGAGCTCAGCCGAGATCACGAGGATTCCATCTTCCAGGAGTATGAGAGTGACCTCAGTGGGGATCGGGAAGCCTTCCGAAATGAGGTTTCTCGATGGAAAGTAAGATGGGAGCTGGAGGGGACAAAACCCTCAAATCTTACTGACACATTGAAGGCTACGAACAAGACTCTGTATCCAGACATCTTCACCTGTCTAGTTGTACTAATTACGATGCCAGTGTCTACCGCTACCACCGAGAGGCAGTTTAGTATCATGAGACGCCTGAAAAACTTCATGAGATCAACGATGCTCACAGAACGGATGTCTGGACTAGCCCTGTTGCACGCCTACAGACACATGGAAATAGATATTGATATTATCATTAACGAGTTTGCGGCCAGCAAAGGCCGCAAGTTAGACTTGCTGTGAAATGTAGACTAGTTGAAATAAACGAAAGTAAAGCTATTCATCTCCATTTTTATGCTAAAATAAATGGATTTTCGTTGGTCAAGAAAGCTCTCCGGAGGCCCCAAAACGCACCAAATTGCACCATTTATTTCAAAATTTTCAGGGGGGGGGGGGGGCATGCCCCCTGACCCCCCTAGATTATTTTGAATCCACATTCTTTATAGGCTAGCTACGCGCCTGCCAGACCGCGTAAAATGATAACAATTAGCCATGATTGGGGACGAGTATGTCCCGTCCAGGTCACAAAACAACGTGAGAAGGTGTAGCGTTGGGACGAGTAGGTTATTAAAGATTGCATACAGATGATAAAAAGTAACCATGATTGGGGACGACATATCACTTCCAGGTCACAAAATAATGTGAGAATTCCAGGTGTAGCGTTGGGACGAGTAGATGATTAAAGATCTCAAATGATGATAAAAAGTGGTCTTGATTGGAGACAGTTTTGTACTACCAGGTCATATAAATATGCTAACAGTTAGCCTTGATTGGAGACAAGTTGGTAATTCCGGATATCATAAAAGGATAAAAAGTAACTACGATTGGGAACGAGTTTGTATTTCCTGGTCACAAAGATATGATAACAAGTAGCATTGGGACGAGTTAGTTACTCTATAACGCATTTAGATGATAACACATAGGTAGCCTTGATTGGAGACGATTGGATTTATACTTCAAAATCAGTTACGAATGGCAACCAGTAGCTATTTTCAGGGAGGAATTTGTACCACCGGATCACATACAAGTACATTGTAAATGGGATTATGAATAGCAATAATTGTGATAATAAGTGGTCTTAGTCAGGGACGAGTTAGTACCACCGGGTCAAATACATATGAAAACATGTAGCTTTCTAGAGGACGAGTTGATACTACTTGATCAGAGAAATGTGATAAAAAGTAGTCTTGATAACGGTAAGATGGTACCACCGGGTACAAACATAAAAATATGATAAAAATAAACTTGATACGGGACGAGTTTGTTCTTAACTATAATGCAATTTGTGACGAAAAATAGCCTTGTTTGGGGTCGAGTTTGTATCACCAGGTCAAATAAATTTTAAATGTTGAATTATTTAATGGAACATGTTGTAACAATCTGGTCCCGGACAGTAAGGAATCTCTAGATCTGTAGAAACTTTTTTTATACATTTTTTAGTTTTCAGTGCTATATATAACTGTCAACATATAATTTATGTTTTAAAATATTTTTTTTTTTTTTTTTTTTTAGTAGTGCTGACGGGGTTGTGTTTGTAACTTTCAATTCAAAGTTAGCAAGTTATAGATAAGGACAATCATAAACATCACTGACTTATATAACGGTCTATAAATAGTTATATTACAGTCTATAAATAGTTATCGTCACACAATGATCTGCCAGCAATGTCCTTCCATTCTTGTCGATAGTCCGTTACAGAATGGAATGTACCCGTATTCACAAATATATGTAGTCATCCGTGTAGTGCACCAACTATACTATACATATAAATTCAGGCACTGCCGATAATGAAAGACTGATAAGTTGATAACAACGAACCAGAGCCGAATATGGCCCGTTTAAAGCGTTCTGAGAAATGAAGACTTTGGTTTTGGCTGTTAGGGAGTTGTGTCTATGCAACAGTTAAGGTGAAAACGGTGACCACGTACAATTGGGCAACTAAATGGCTACTTTGAAGTGACATATCTCTAATTAAAATACCATGCCCATGTTATGGCAGTATGACAACAGCCCGGTCACTATTTTTTCTAGTTAAATGTTAAAAAACGAATAAATAAAATTCTTTCATCATTTAAAATATATAATGATTGTAACTAACGTGTCTCCTAATGAACACGTGTTGTGTTTTGAGCAAATTAACAGGAGTATCATTTAACTCCTACTTGTAAGTACCAAACTTTAAAACATGATTTTGTATATACACGGTGATAAAGGGGGACGTGACGTATACAGGTATGGGACCGTGCGTCACGCGCCTGGATAACGACACATCAAAATAGCGGCGAAAACAACGTTTACTACTTTTTATGGCAGGATTTCAGCAATTGCAACGTTAAGTGTTATATTCTCTCTTTGTTAGGTGCTGAAAACTACCTTCCTTAGTTTCAAGGGCGTTCGGCGGTTATTTAAACCTTTATACTAAGGTGTGTAGTCTACGGTACCTACCACTGAAGCTGGAGCTGGCCTTCCTAAAGTTCTACACTCAAGAATATGTTTTCGCTGCCATTTAAGTGTGATATTATCATTGGACGTGGCAAATGGTCCTCATCCTGATAAATCCACGTGTCGCAAGCAGGCTGGACTATTTTTACCATGCTGTCGGTCAATATAGTATCAATATTTGACGGTCCCTGTGTTTGTAACCCAACGTCAATATACATACAATTCCGGAGTAATTGCCTGTCAGTTTGTATCCTTATTTCAACCAAAATTAGCAATGGTCACACTTATCAGACTAAAATATGAAGAAAATACTATTTAGACCGCATAACTGAAGGACGTTTCAATTTGTAAAATTAGATTCGATATATGAATGTACCGGATTGGTCGTGTATTTCAATTCTAATTATATTTCCATTGTATATGACGTTCACATTGATCTTTACTACTTTGGTAAAGTTCTGATTGTCCCGAGTGTAGGACAACAATCTTTATGGACTACGAATACAATTCTATAAATACTACAGTTGAAACAATGTCGTCCCATTTCTCGGTAACTGAAGACGGACATACGTAACCATACTACCTGCCCTAAGACTTATTGTGATTTTTTGACGATGTTAGGCACAGTCTTTTGAGCTTTTTGAAGGCATACGGTGATAACAATTCGATACAGGAAACATTACGAATACGAAAATGTTTCGAAGTTAACTCGGGGTATGGTACAGCAGACAAGACCATAATGGATGCTGTCATACTTCCTGTTTACGACACAGTGCTCTTAAAGGCAAACTTTAGGTAAGTCACTCTCCTGGTTGTGTACGGTTGACTACATGCCAAATAAATAATGGTTCTATTTTCAGTCAACGATGGTAACAATATTCTTGAGAAATGATAGACGTTGAGCCTATCATTTCAAAGTTGGTACCGAAGACTTTATAACAGATAAATGTCAACTCTATTTCCGGTTCATGCTATACCATCATGGGCGAATTCGATCTTCAACTTGTCGTTTGTTAAATTCATTCAGTTTTCTTCTCAGGTATGAAAGCATATTGCTCAATTCAACTGTTGGCAAGGAACATTGCTGAATGGTGTATATGCGTTAGTGAGAGTCTCAATAATGGCTGAAGTTGAGAGTGTTACAGTGCATTACGAATGGCTGATCATTCACTGTATAGAGGGATTTCACAAATCAAGGCTTGTTCCACTGTTTTGTATGTCGCCGATTGAGTTCAACGATCCGTTGAGACAGAGATACCCCATCGCACTCGTCGTCAGATTCCGGGGAAATAAACAACACTTCTTCTTCTTGACGTGTACCGTTAAGTGTCTGTTTTTTCATACCTTTGTCACTCTTAGCCGTAATTTGAGACCGCACTACAAATGGCGCGTTCTCGGCCTCCTCAGGACCAGCAGATGTCGTCATAGTGTCAAAACCACTGTCCACCTGACCTGAAAAAGACTCACAAAGTGCGTGCCTCGGATTATCTTGGTAAGAACCATCCATCACACAGATTTGGCTGGGTTGTCTTGGATCGATGGACTGGCCTGTGCAGCAGGTAGGCGGGGTTCGTGGCACACAACCATTTTCAAAGTATGTTGTCCCTTGTCGGATAAGATCCCGGTACACATACTCCTGTCTAGCGACACCTGGTGGTCGATAGGCACACTGGTAAGTAGTCGCGTTCATTGCCATTTCTTTTGTGAGTTTAGGTTTACATCCGTTGTATGGTAACTTTGATTGGTGTGGTCTTGCATTCTTAAGTTCTTGGATGGCAGCAAGAAGTAGTTTAGTCTGGACACATCCAGTCAAACTGTTGTGTGAAAGCGTAACCGGGGGACTCAATTGACCTCTACTCATTGACACAAATAACTGTTCCAGATCCCTAGATCTTAACTGACATTTGTGTTGGTCAATGTTGTCGACGATAGAGTATAATTGGCCGAGGTTAGGCAACAGCTCGAGGTAGCGCGCACATAGATCCGAGAACAGGCACACTAACATGACGGGAGGCAGTTGCGCGGGGGTCACCCGGTCAATCTCCAGCAGTAGATTCACTAAGTGCAGATCTAGTTTTAAACCTGGCGTCTTTGATATATCCAAACCCCGTTTTACCTTGCTCAAAGCGTCCAGTAAATCTTTTGACAATACGACGAGTAATGTGCAAGGGCGCTGTGCAGATCGCCACTTGTGTACGTACGAGTCTATCTCTACTCCGGAGCAAGAACCCTCCATTGTCAAAACCTCGGTTTTTGATTTGATAAACTGAATGAATAATTTGGATATCTTTTTCACGTTTAAGTTTTGTTGGGAACATAACACGGCGATCGCTGGAGTGTCATGCTCATCCATTCCTGAAACATTAATCCAGAATCATTCTTACGTTACTTATTGTTGATATTGGTTCATATTACATCAGGAGAAAAGTTAAATTATTTACCAAAATATATAGAGGGTCTCAAACGGTAGTGGTTGATCATAATTTGTATCCATTTAAAGAAGCTAATCCTGAAGTATATATAACGAACTTCGAAGAATAAGTAGAACATTAGAAATCATTCATGAGAAGGAACCAAGACCACGTAATCAATGATCAGGAGTGTATTATTTTTTTTCACCAATAATTAAACCACTCACCTGGGCCCGTATTCATGAAACCGTGCTCATGCTCAAGCATAGATTTTGTGCTCAAGTCTAATTTCTTGTTCTTGTTAATAAATCTATCTAAATTTGCCAATGATTTGGAAACGTTTTGAGAGACTTAATGCCAGATGCTGTTTCCAATGTTAACATTTGACTTTGTGATCGTGTGACATAAGTTAAGCGAGTTGCAAAAAAGATGGTTTGAGCACAGAATCCATGATTGAGCATGAGAACGGTTTCATGAATACGGGCCCAGGAGCTGGTAAACTACAACAGGCATGGGAGACATGGACCTCTGTCGCAGTGGAACGAAACATAAAGGTGATTCGAGAGAGATCAACCATTGGGTGGGAGGGTTGAATATACCAACAAGACAAACAATATAACCGTAATCCAATATCACGGTCATTAAAACTTTGAAAAATCGGTTGTTGAATATAAACAAAGAAAAGATTGACATGGGATAATTGAAAGTACGAAGACGGTAAAACCATGTGTTCCAGCAGGTTAAGGGTCTTTTGCTTCATCGTCAACATCCGCCATGTAAATCTAGGACATATCAAGTATTGTCACGTTGTCAAATAGAAAAACTGGGGCGGTGACAACGGAATAACACGGTACATTAATAAGCATTATCAAAATTATCGACCTGTACTGGATAAGAGTAATGAAACCTATATAACGTATATGGGAGAAATAACCCGCTTGCTAGGAGAGATGGAACCTATAGCTTGTTTGAATGAAATATAGCACTGGTTAGGACTAACCAATATATTATTAATATTAATAAATTGAAATGACGTAGTACCATATCAACCTACCTTGAGAGGTTGCTTCCAGTTGGTTGTTCGGCGTCTCGATGGCTAATTGCTCACTAGTTTGACGGTTTGGCACCGATCTAAACATCTGTAAATTACCTACAACACGTTGAACCAAAACATGACTAAATCTAGTGTTACTTTTAAAGCATTACAAACAGCACGGTAACACATGGGATCATTGAAAGCGACCAGTTTCACCAAAGCTCCTTATTTTCACTTTTCAAACTCGATAATTAAACAAGAGTACCGCGGGGCGATCAATATACGCCCGTCGAATGCCATATAGTGTTATATACTTTCTTACATTCAAATAAGATCTGCATCATTCTAAGAGTGGTTAGCTGACATGCTATAAACAAGAGGCCCAATGGGCCTGCATCGCTCACCTGGTATAAAACTCACACTTGTAACCTTAAAAGTGATCTAAAATAAAGCTACAGGCAAAATATCAGTATTTATGATTAAAATTCGTTCAAAAGACCCTGTTATTATTTTTTTAAACATTTCACCCCTGTGATTGAAAGTTGAACAAAGTCATCATGTTGAACACATTGTATAGGCTTTCATCTCAGGATGCAACTTGCAAAGTATAAACATCCTGGGACCCATGGTTATTCATAAGAGGTTGTTTAAAGATTTTAAACAAATTTGACCCCTGTGACCTTGAATATAA